AACACTGAATTTAAATTAAAAAGGTGTCCATAAATAATCGAACCACCTTATTAATTGCAAAGACTAAGAACCACACTAGATAAAACAGTTGTGATTTGCAGCATGTGGGAAGCCGATGTCTGAAGTTTTGTACCAGATATTATGGCATGACTGATATAATCAAGGCAATTGCGATGATTACTCCCTCGGGGGATGATGGCATGTACATGCATGTGTGTGTGTAGGGGGAATGGATGATTGTATGGATATCCTTTGAACCATAAATGGTGATTCTGTCGAGGTGTAGGTGTACCAAAGGTGCCATTGGCCACAGACAAACCTGAGATATTAGCCTCCATTAGAACACAAACCACAATTATTTATCATATGTATTTCTCACTCTATTCAACTAATAACATTGTTCAATAATATATGCATAACATCCACATCTGTTTCATTCATACTCATATCAGTCTTTCATACACCTCAAAACACAGAGAAGAATGATTAAAACCCTAGAATTACTAATGAGATCCACACACCATCATTCATGGATCCATGACTTCATTGATTGTTGGGTCACTTATAACATAAGTCACACACAAAATATAACTAAAAGTACTATCAGTATTGCACTTAATTACTGTTCGGGTCCTTTATGTATTTTACGTAAAAAAGAAAGTTTATTTCACAGGCAAAAACATAAAATTACTGCAAATCATGCAATATGTGTTTCTCAATTGTAGAGAATGATAAAAACAAGTCAGTAATTTTAGGGTTAAAGAATGAGAAAATTACAGTATACTTTTCAAAGTACACACCTGGGGAGAAAGAGTGTATTGTTGTAGGAGGAGTGGTATCACACGAGGTACAATTTTACTGAAAGCAACGTGAGAAGATTGAGCCACAGCCTTTAACAGCTTAGAACTGGAACAGATTAGATTGGCCTCCCAATCTATCAGCAAGTGTCTACATTCTGGTTAAAGAAAGATTTATCACTGACAAAATTATCATATAACTCCACAAGTAAAAGTAAAATAAAAGACTTAATAAACTTTGGAGGTATTTAAGCAATTTTTTAAAAACAGAATAAAGAAATGCATAACAAACAAATCGTTAATGAATTATTCAAATCATAAATGGAAAGTAACAATGAATGAAGTCCAATAATAGAAATCAGAAGACAAGGTGAAATCTTTTTTTTCCTTCGATTTTCACGGTTTAAAAAATATTCTGTTTATACAAAGGGTGTCACCAGTGAAAAAAAAAAAACAGAAGTAAAAGCAAAAAAATACCAAAATAAAATGAAAAGCAGAAATTTCACCGTATTCTGATCATCAATAGACAAAGAAATCAATGTTTAAATGGACTGTTTTCATATTACAACTAATCAGCATATGCCCTTATTCAAAACTGAATAGTATTTACTGACAAATTCAAAGTTGATTATTAATTTTAAGGTTTAAAATCATAGTGTGAACTATACATAAAAAAAAGCCTTTACAGTTATATATGTGTTTTAATAAATTCATGTTTCTGAAGTTGTATGTAAATTAAGTTGACAAAAGTCACATAATCTCAATTTCCTATTGTATTAATCTTTTCTAACTTATCAAACATTTACATACCTTTCCAAATATCTTCAAGAAATTCTGCAACCAGGATTAACTTGAGGAAAAAACAATTTTCTTTATTGATGAGTGAGAAAATTAGGCAGACATTACTGAAGTTAAATATAAAATACATTAAAACAATTTTCTTAGTTGATGAGTGAGAAAATTGGGCAGACATTACTGAAGTTAAACTATAAAATACATTAAAAAATTTTTTTTAGTTGATGAGTGAGAAAATTGGGCAGACATTACTGAAGCTAAACATAAAATACATTTTATTTGAAACCAGAAACTAATATGAAGGTTTCAGAGTTTGCATTTTAAGTTTAGGCTTCTTTAAGATTCTATTAACTTACAGTTTGTAGCCATGAAAACTTCAGAAACAAGGGCTTTCATTGGCCAAACAAGATGAATTATGATGAACATCATCAACAACAGGTTAATGTTGAAACAAAGTATCTATGGTGATGCAAATCACAAACAACAGTGTAGGGTCAAAATGAAAATGTTACCAATGGTGATGAACATCACCAACAACAGTGTAGTGTCAAAATGAAAAAGTTACCACTGGTGATGAACATCACCAACAACAGTGTAGTGTCAAAACAAAAAGTACCAATGGTGAGAATCAGGAGTGAAATTCTGCTGGTACTCGCCAGTACTGAGGACTGGAAATTATTTTTTAACGGAATGCTAGTTCTAGGAATTATTTGAGCTGCTTTTCAGATGCACTGTCAGAAAGCATTTATTCATTGATAATCAAATTGTCATTTTTTATGTTTACACTTAGATTTTGTTTTTGTAAACAGGTCCACTTCATCCAGCTGAATACCTTTAAATTTTTTTTAGAACTTCACCCCTGGTGATAATCATCACTAACAACAGTGTAGTGTCAAAACAAAAAAAATCAAATGGCAATGAACAACAGTGTGGAGTAAAAAAAAGAACCAATGGTAATGAACATCAACAGTGTAGTGTCAAAACAAAAATTACCAATCGTGATAAACATCACTAACAACAGTGTAGTATCAAAACAAAAAAGTAATAATTACATTATTAAAAGCTTATCTTTATTTGGTTCTAATTTTAAAAATACCAACATATTCTTAAATAATGTTAAGTTTCATATGTATTAGGTCAGATTGCACATTAATTCAGTTACTTGAATTATAATACGTCTGTATCCACTTAACATGATGTCTGTCTTTTTTTCTGTAATATATCCAAAACATATATAATCAAACTGTATAACTGGAGAACTGTTTAACCTTTGTGAAGCTATAAAGTTTTATATTCATATTTGTCTTTCACCATGTGTATCTTCATCCCTCTTTTGATAATAACTTTAAAAATTTAGTTATCAGTGTCACTCATGACATAACAAAAATTTAGTTATCAGTGTCGCTCATGACATAACAAAAATTTAGTTATCAGTGTCAATGATGACATAAAATTTAGTTATCAGTGTCACTCATGACATAACAAAAATTATGCTCCTTCTTTTCCAGCCTTTCTGAGCTTAAAATTTGAATTAAAAAAGCAGATAAAAGAAACAGATGCTCTGAAACTGGGACCTGACGTAGGATTACCAGGTCAAGTGCTCTACCACTGAACTCTAAGAGTATAAGCTGTCCCTATCAATGTTCACATATAAAGCTTCTAACTAAAGAGTATGCATTAACCCTTATCAACATACCTGGGGCCCAAATGAACCCCAACAACTTTCTTGGTATATCTTTTCACATTATTGTTACAAATGTATATTAATTTATGTAATTGTCAAGCAGAAACTCCGGATCAATATGACACTATTGTTTTTGAAACAGGTAGACAGAGTATGTAGCTATTATCCAATACTTATCTGGGGTCCCCATATTATCCTTGACCATCACTATACATGCAGTTCACCCTATAACATACAAAACAAATGTCTAAATGTTTATTTCACTATATAGGCTATTGTAGAGAATAATCCATAAAAGTAGTACTGTATCATCTCATCTGTTTGTTTATAACATCACTGTAGTAAACACGTATGTACACCTCATTCCTCAACAAGTGTTTTCTGTGATGACTGTTTACAATGCCCTATATTATAGAAATCTTATTTGATAATTATTGTAAATAGCCTGATTATTGGATTTTCAATCCATAACCTACTATAAGGATACACTTGTGTTGGGGTTTGGTCAGACCCAAGTTGACACACAATGTACACTTTCAGTTTTTTTTTAGTTAAATTTTGCAGTATTGTGGTAATCTCATCATATATTAGTGGTTAATGACTTGAATATAGAAGTATAATAAAACTTTGGCATTTTTTTATATGCTGTTTGTAAAAGGAATGACTTAATAATACTTATTTGTATACTGAGGAACAATGTAATTTTGTAATTTCTTGATTTTTCAACATATGTCATCTATAATATATATATTTTTATATTGTTCACATTGCATGCTAACCTTAATAAAAGTTGTATTGCAATTGGTTTTTGGAACTTAAATCCAGAGTTTACTATGATGGTAATTTTTGTGCTGGAGTACAGTTGGACCCAAGGTGTTCCACAATGTAACTTTTCAAAGGTGTGCTGATGAGGGTTAACTTATATCAAAATAAGCCAAATGATGTATTGTACCATCAAATGTAGTGAAATATCATGAAAACAAAAAAGATACTTAAAAAACAAAGGAAACACTATTTACTTGTGTCGTATGTGCTAGTTTTACCACTGAGATATAGAAAAGTACAATGCTCATTTATAACTATTCTTACTATAAGCCAGAGATCCTGAGTTCTAGTCTAGAAGTCTCTCTTCACTCACTGGCTTTTTATCTTAAAATTTAATTTTAAATATTACCCTTTTGAAGCATAGAAGTTAATAGCCTGGATGATGCTTTCTTTTGTGTTGTAATTTCATCTGAATTTAAAACATCATCAATAAACTTAGTAATATGATTCCTCGTCACAATACTACTTTACAAAAAATTTATTAAGCATTTCATGCCAGTTTTACAAGTTAACTTAGCTTTTTTCTTATGTTATCTTTGCATGCTAGTTATTTCTCCAGTTCTTTAAAGGCTGCATACATTAACATGATAACATCACTAAGAAATGGTCAAAATACCTAGTATTTACAAGACCAGTTTAATATTTTATTATTGCAAAAACAAATAATAAATTCTCACTTTGATCTGTAAATGAAAAGAAAAACATATAACTGTAAAATCATGTAGATTGATAAAAGAGTACAAGGTGTAAAAGGCTGAAGATTGAATTACTTCTAAGTAAATCAGCATCAAATAAAGCACAAAAAGCATACACAAAATCATGAAGAGGAGAATATGTCTGGTTAGTCCCATTAGATACCTTCACTTAATGTCACTCTGCTTTGAATACTTGCACAATGAAACAAATAAAATCATGTATGTTTAATACAAGTTCCAACATAATCTCAGAGTAGTAAGGTTTCATAGAAAAAAGATAATAGATACAGATGTTTAACTAAGAAAAAAAAAGGAAACACTTCATTTATGAAGGCTAAGTTTGTATCTTATGTATAGTTTCTTTGTAGTTGTTTTCACAACAATGGGGACAAAAGAGCCTAATTAAACAGAGGCACTTCTGGGCTCAACTGACCAGTAAAGAGAATGCCAAGTAAAGTGAGTTGAGTGTTATAGCTATATTTCAAGTACTACTAGACTTCCCAAACAGCCTCACCATGTATAGAAGAAGACTAGTTTCATTTTCAAAAAGAGGAAAAATGAATTACTTTTTCTATATGTCTATTTCTGCATATGTACAGTTTAGCAGACACTATAACAAAAGGATGAATGACTTATCTAGTGTACTGGCAATATATACAAGCAGACACATCTATATTAGCATTGATCATTTGTGGTAACCCAATAGTGAGATGAAGTGTTATTCACAGATGTACAAGTCTTGTTTACCTCTAATGTTTAAGTACAGACAAAGTGCACTAACATTGAAAAAAAAATTACCTGAATAGTTATTTTAAATGTCTGTGTTCAGTACATACTGCCACCTAAATGAACATTTAACCAAATATTACTTGCGTATCACAAAAGTGTTAAATTGCTCTTTCTTAAATTAGTTATCCAGCAAAACAAATAAAATCATATATGTTACAAACTCCACACCAATTTTGTAGTAGTTCTGAATATAAGTATTAATGCAAATGAATAAAAACCCTATAACCTGAGCGCTTTTGAAAGGTGGACCTTTCTTCTTCAGGTGCATTAATGCAAACATATCCAATAAGCTAAATGGGCAATCAGATAATGTGGGTGTTAAATAGCACAGTATGTGTGTAGTATGGATTCTTTGCCAGTAAAATATGTTTAACATTGCAGTGTCAGAGAAGGAGTTAGTAAACATTTTTGCCAATTTGCAGTAAAGTTTGTGATCACATACTATAAACGATAGTTTAATTCTGATGTTGACAACGACACTGTTTTATATTTAGAACTGTTAACTAAGATGAAAATGACAAGAGAAATAGGGATTAAATATTGATGTTTAACATAATTGAAAGTTAAAATATATATACCATCAAAATGTTGGAAGAATACAAATTTCTTATGATTTGAGCATAAGTTACTTTAATGTGCTAAATCAACCAAGAATGATGGTTGTTTACTGAACATTCAAGTAAATTGGTGAACATTATATACAATAAAGTATGTATGCTGTAACACTAATAAAGAAAATACAAATCATATAATAGTTTTTTACATCATGAGTTTCAAAGATGACACCAATCTGTTCCTGCACTAAAATTATGTTATAATTATGTTCTTGATTTTGAAAGATATTGATGCTGGTAACAAATCTTGGACTTTTTATGTGGTCAACATGACAATGAAACCACAAACCAGAGAAAATATGCATCAGCTAGTGATACAACTTGCAACAATACTAATCATATTTCTCAAAAAAAAAACTTCTAATTGATAAGCTTTGTACCTCAGTCTCCGATGAAGTAACTGTTCTTACAACAATGCTTAAAACTCTTAAAGCTGCACTCTCCACATCTTCATCCCTCCCATCTAACACCTACAAGTAAAAAATATCTTGAAAAAAAAACATTTACTAGTTTCCACAGTAACAAACTACATAAGGTTTATATACATTTCATAATAGCTGTAAAAAGGTTAAACAATAAACTGCTAACTAGAATATCCAGTCATTTCAAATCATACATTTAAATGAAAGTAACATTTTATGCTCTTTTTTTATTACTAGCTTCTTTCAATTGTCTTTGAATGCTAAACCAAATTTTTTTGGAGATTTTTTGAGACAAGACCCTGGTTTATCTAGATTTGAAAAATATTCATAAAACTAAGGAGTGACTGAACAACAGTGACTTCCATACAGAACTGTTTTATCTTTATTGCTAACCTTTATGTTTAACCCAAAATGTTTTAGAATAAACTTTTGAAAATATGGAGTTTTTAGTATAGATAAAGATAATAATGATTGCTGAACAAGTATATTTACCTCAGCAAGCACAAAATAAATGAAAATCTCAAGAAGAAAACTATTTTTACAAGAAAAAAGTGATTTTAAAACAACATCACTATGTCTAACTTCACAGGATCACCAAAACTTTATATATGCTTTTCCTTTGGTTATGAATTTTCTACAGTATATGATCCGCTTTTAGATGTTGTTACCATATGATAGACATGCGTTAAAGTTTTTAAAAGCATGGTTAATATGACACAAAAACTAAACAATGTTCTGTGTAAACATCATTGCATAAAAATAATTCAGTCTTTTAATTCTCACCTAGTATAACAAGCATAATACTTCAACTTACATTTACCTGTTTTAGTAGGTTATGTAATCAGAGATTGAAAATCAGTTTTGTTTAAACCTTATACAAATAAACTTTAAACCAATATTATTCTTATTACAAGATTCAAAATGAAAGACGAAAAACAAAAATGTCAATAGAAATGAAAATGCTAGGCCTAAATTTCTGTTCAACAAAAAATCAAAATATTACTTGAAGAATTGTTAAAGAAATTAACATTTTCCATAACACTGTACAATTATTTGTTTCATAACTATTAAGTAAACACTTACTGTGTAACTATTTTCAATTTCTAAAGATAAAAGCATAATTAAATAATTTTGACTTCAGTCAACTGAACTATATAATCTTATTTCCAGATATATTAGGAATAAAATCTCAATGACAAGCTGTAAGAACAGTTTCAAAACAGTTTTACTTTTAAATTGAACATGCTAATCCTAATTTATCTTTAAGGATTTCATTTACAGGTTTGTATCTATATTTTCCTGCATATAATGAAAACTGAGTTATGTTTTCATTTCTTACCCTTTTAGGCACAAATACTTAAAAACTGTGTGTGTGTATGTTTTCTTATAGCAAAGCCACATCGGGTTATCTACTTTGTCCACCAAACCCCTGATTTTAGCATTGTAAATCTGAAGACTTACCGCTGCCCCATTGGGGGACTTTTAAAAACTAATTGACCAATAAAAAATATTCCAATACTTGAATCCAAATGGTGAAATAATGTATGACTTAGTATAAAACATAACAAATATAATCAGAATGATATATTCAACATGTTAGATAAGTCTAAAGATTGAAGCATCTATGTCTTCAGAATAATCTTTTTTTGAAATAAACCACATGAAGTAGGAGAAAAACTTATCTAGCTTAAAATTTTATAGAAAACACATTAGAAGGCTGGGTACAGATTTAGTTCATTATTTTCATTTTCAGACTAGATTTGATAAAAAGTACATGAAGAGAAAGGAATTGGATGTATAAACTTCAAGGCCATTCTATCTCATAAATATAAGACAAACGTTGTAAAAAAAATCTTCAAGTGTAATACATGTACATTTTTATAAACGTGTGTGTACCAGATAAAATGAAAACATGTGTCATGACAATTCTTATATTTTTACACCAGAACAAGACAAAAGAAAGACATATCCCCAAATTTAGTTTTGATGCATACATAAAACAATAAAAGGCGTTTTACAGTTTAGGCTTACTATATAGTGTTGTTGTTTTATTTCTGTCAAGTTCATACAAAAAATGTCAAACATAAAACCTTTTTCATCTAATGAGTACTTGGTCACATTTATTACCAATTTAAAATGGGAAATGTACTGCACAAAAGAAAAAGTACTGTTTAAACAACAGACTTCTTTTTTATGATGTATGCACAAATAAACACAGTTTCAAGAATAACCTAGTTTTTCTTCAACATATTAAAGGTAAGGTTCTAGGTATTTTCTTACCTCTTTACGTATTCCAGACCAAATAGCAGAAAGGTAGGGTTTCACATCTTCAACTGTATAAAGCTCACAGCAAACTGCCTAAATGTGATAATATAAACCATTATTTTTAAGATGGCTTAAGTTAAAACATTTAAGTATTATTTCCTATACACAAGAAAAAAATGTAGAATAGATACACAAATTTAATTACATGAAAAACATATTTAACAGTAGAAAAAAAATAATCTTTTGCTTTAGTTTAATGATGATCAGTAGAACGATGGCAGCAACAATGAACATTTGACCCATGTGTGTACAGTAATTCTTGAATATTTTGGAATATATATATTCCATCTTCAGCAAGCTATATTGAACAGGAAAAAATATTAGGTACAAACATTTATAAAGTTCAAACATTTTATAAAAAGTAATTAAAATACAGAATAAAAGGATGAAGTAAGTTAAAAGCCAAACAAATAAACAAGAAAGAATACAATAATGTAACAACTGGAAAAATATTATACATATTTTTCAGATCTGGATTAATTGTAGTGAAGCTGTTATTATTATTTAAAGTTGGGAGTTCACATATAATATATAAACTTTCTTTAATTAAAAGTTCAATATTGGACGATCCAGATAAGATGACTTTGAAATTCATAATGAAGATGGGATAGTTTACTATGTATGCGAATTGTGGAGTCTGGTGGATTTGATAGTTCTGATAATTTGAGTAATGGTGGAAGCAGATTTATGGGAGTTACAGTTGTAAAATGAGGACAAAGCAGCATTTTTGAATCTTGTTTTTACAAAGTTCTCTAGGTTCTGGGAACCATTCCTGTTGAAAATGCGTTGAGATTTCAAAATTATATAAATGCTCTCAAAAGGGAACAGGTAATCAGAGAAGTAAGCAAAACTTTAGGCCCTTAGCTAGGGTATTTTTACAGGTTTCATTGAGTACAACATCACTAAAATTAAAAATCACCTGTTAGGATTAATACTGTTCGTATTTTTATGTGGAATTAATTTATTCAGCTTAACATTCTGCTTGTATTCTAGGCGGGTTTCAATTTTTGTGTTAATATTGTTAATCAGGTGGTTGTAATCAATCCATGATACGTTATTTCGTAGTTCATCCTTTGCTGATTCATGTTGAGTGCTAGACTGTTTCTTCTGTTTGAATTTCAACTTCAGTTCATTTTCCAAAAGATGACATTGGCATGAAAAATAGGCAGGAGATTTCTGAAGAGAACAGTTTGTAGTTTTGAAATAGAGGAATCTGGGGATGATTGGATAATGTTTGCAAGTTGTAAAGAAATGAATGTCCACTGATAATTTCCGGAGTTTAAGGTCAATTCTTTCAAGCAATCACAATAGCTGTAAAGTATCATTCCTATATCACTATTTAATAACATTAGCAACAGATTCATTCAATGGGAATCAAAGTTTAATGATGAACAGAAGAATGACAGCAGCAACAACAATCATTTGACACATAAACATATATGTGTACATACACAAACACACACAGAATATACAAATGCACATACAGTTTCAGTAAAATACTCATATACCTTCTTGAAATGTAAAATATTTATTTGTTTTTAGCATGCGACATATTTTAAATAAAGACAGAAATAACTGTAGAAGCATGACTAGTATTGAAGCTATCATTTTTTAAGTGAGCCATAGGAAAGGACTGAATTTCATGATTTTTGTGGAATAATTTGTTAAAGATGATCCACACAAGGAAGGACACTATGTTTTATGAAATCCTTTCACAGAGTGATCCATATAGGTTAAAGGAGTCTAAAACATCTTATTGAACTAGGTTAAAGTTAATTGAATCAATAGCTAATGTGCACTTTAAAATAATACTTATTTTAATTTTCTAACATATGGATGTTTACACTCACTGTGTTATAGTCATAAATATTTCATTCTGAGCCAAATGTAGAATGACGTAAATGCATATCAAATAACTTCTACTAAAAATAAAAGAAAAACAAAGTTTATAGTTTAAATGGTACATATTGTTGTCTCTCAAAATAAATGTAGACTTTACTGATAATGTTTTGGCTAAGTCTAAGGAGCCTTATAAAGGTTTCATTCTGACAGAAAAGAAATTACTATAACGTATAGATTTATGACTTTAAATTATTTTTTTATGTTCCTTTCAACAGACTACAAAAGAAAGTTAAATATATATTTTATAATAATAAAAGTTATACATGAACTTCTTGATTTGTTGTGCTTTTATAGTTTCCAAATTTAAATCAGTGACATAAAAAACATGACATTAAACACACAATAATTTAGCAAAGAGTAAAAATTGGAACACATTTACTTTCCCAACACTTTTTCACCCTATTTTTGTACAATACAAGAACTTTCTGGCCAGTTTTTACCTCACTGGAATCTCTAAAAATCAAATTATTGAGATAAAATTTATACATGTAAAAGCACAATTAGTTTTCAGAATTTAACCATTTTTGAGGTTTCAACATTTAAGAACTGAAACTTGTCACAAAATAAGTTGAAAAGAACTAGAAGCTTCGGTTGAAAGTGGGCATGATAAAAAAAACAATGAAAATTGAAATATATTAATGAAAAAGCTGATTGATATGATTATTTTCAGGAATTTTGTTTTGTAAACTTAAGAAAATATGTCCACAATGCAATAAAAAAAATGCAGAATCAGCAAGTATTCTTTTCTCAATGTTATAACTGATATTTTTCTGTATAGTTAATAAAATTTAAATGGACTTACTGAGTTTTAATTCTTTTATATGTTTAATAAATCTGTTTGAAGTGTTTTATTGATCTGTAATTACGAGTGTACAAGTACATCCTGTATTAAATGGATCAGACTGTTAAGAAATTTGCTGTGACAAGGATTTGAGGTCAGGGCCTTCAACCCATCTTTATTGGTCTATAGTCACAGATCTGCCAAATACATTAAAGAACTTGAACTTTTTAAAGTAACAGACAAACACCATTACCGAAAACCACTGAGCATGTATACAGATAGTTAAATATGTCATTACTACAGTAAGGATGACTCTTGGACATGGAGCATCATATGTTTGACACTGTATGTCCTGAGTGAGAATGGAACAGCAGGATCTCAGCTTAAACAGAAATTTTGAGTATGATCTTTTAATAATAAGCTTAAAGGGGATCAACATCAAAACCAACACAATATGCAGAAAGTTATAAATATATTACTTACATGTAAAACAATATTTAGTATAAGTTTATCATTAACATTTATACGTTATATATGTTGTTATTCACACAAATAACTGCATTTAACATTAATATCACTCTAATTATTGCACAGCAGGATGCAACTCTGAAGAACTATAAAGAAATGACAGTTGTTTATTGTGTATGTCTAGCTAAGTTTAGTTATGTAACTGAATTATTAAATGGGCTATGTTTCTCATTTTGTCATACCCCTATACTCTATGCAAAATATTTTTATGTTAAACAAAAATAAATAAATGAGCTTTTAAGAAAGTATTTGACTGTCTTTTTTTAAATAAAATTTCTATATCAAATGTTAACTGTCTATTTTTTATCATAACCACCAAGTGAAGTTCACCTCAAGAACTTTATAAAATACAGTTCACAATTGGCAATAATCATAATTGCATGATTACATTAAAAGTCCACCTTTTATATAACAGCTAAATGAACAAGCTTTAAACTTTAGTACTGTTTTGAATAAATTAAAGAGTATATATATTAAATGTAGCCAAAACATTTATTCTTAATAAATCCACAGTACTTACCAGTGTGTTAAGAGCCTCTAATTTTGAATTCTGAATATCGGAATCTAATTTCTCAAGAAAAAGAGGAATAGCATACTGGGAAAACTTAGATGTTGAAGCCAAGCATTTTCTTAAAGCTAGAGACAGCTCTTCTTTAGTTATTCCCCGTCCATCATTAGGAGGCTGTGAAGTTAATATGAAACATAAACAAACACACAAACTACATAACACAATAGAAGGTTTTCTGATTGGTTGGGTACAGAGAGAGTGTGTTTTGTGAATGCAGTTTCGGCAGTCTCAGACAGAATATTTTTTGTAATTGTTTTACTTCGTTCTCCTACTGCTTTTGTTGCTGACCATATATTTAACTAGATCAATCTACTTATTTAATTATTTCACTCTATTTCATAGACTAGTAGTTCTTTCCACCTGTAATTATCCAGCCTTAATAGTCCACTGTAACTACCTTCTACTTGTTGTTATAAAAGCTCTACAGCTAATTAAAGTAGCACCATCTTAAGGTTTAAGGTTTCAATTACTATTACACGTAATAGAATGTAATTTCGTTAAATAAAAACTTTTGTCAAAATGTATAATTTATTTAAATAAATTTATTCTTATCTTTAAGAAAATGTTATCTTGTTTTTCATAATTCCTTTTATGGAAGTGCCAAATACTACAACAACATATGCCCAGCAGTCACAGTGCATGATAAGACCAATGCAGCTGTTTATTAAAACCATTAACTATTTACAAACTTTTTTACAACTAAGTTTCTTATACATTTTTGTATCAAAGCTGTAGTGAAAGTTACACTCAACATAACCACAAGCATGCTATCATGCAGAGTTTAACTAATTTACTGTTTGTGTGAAAACAAACAGTTCTATATAATTAGAAATGTTTGGATCTTCATGTACAAATGGCAGTGAGAATTCAGTGTTTTTCCAATTACAACTAATGGCTTTTCTAGAAATTACAATGGTCTTTAAAAAAATAAAATAAATATCATGTAGTTAAAGAATTTCTGCAAATAACAAATTTTTCAATATTTTTTTCAAACTTTAAAAAATAACTGTGTCTTAACTTTTTCAACCCAGGCTTGGTCCCTGGGACTGACCTCGTAACCATTTTGTGCTTGTTATAGTTTTAATGCTAAAACTTTTAAATTAGTAAGCGAATGTTAACAAAATTTGTCAGTTTATCAGTATACATTACAATGCTTTCATACTCAAAATATCCAATTTTTTGTATTAAGTCTTAAGGTTTGTAAAGCAATATTTCACTCATGCGTTTTATTTCTTTTCACATCTTGCTTATCTATCATGCAAAGTAATTTTCTTTTTAAAATTAAAAAAATACTTTTATGCATAACAAAAGTTTTAAATTTCACACGTGAAATTTTTATAATGTCCGGATAGTTATCAAACAACATTTCTTAAGAAAAAACTTTATATTTTATCTGTTATTTTCAGTAATTAATATCTATATGGGTTTGGTAAATTTAACTGATCTCACAACCATTATAAAAAATTAGGGAATAAACATAAATTATGTCTCTTTCATTCTAGAATGAA